AAAAAAAGATGTAGTTTTGTAGGTTACTGTCCTTTCTCAACTCAAATAAAAAGCTAACATAGATAGGTTTAAGATTTATATCTAATCCAATAGCCACTGTAAATAAGCAGTCTAAAAATCTAGTACCCCTGCTTTGGTAGCAAGCCCCTTGCAAAACCCTGAAATGATCTGAAAGTGGTGATTGGCAAGCAACTATAGTATGGCAGAACAAGATTTTACTGTAATTTTGAAGATCCATTTTACACTTGCTAGCTACGCAGTTTCCCCGTAAGTGAACTAATTAGTAACATTACCCCACCTAGGTACAATAATGTCTGATATATAAACACCATTCCACAAGAATAGTTAAGTCTGTGCCTGAACTCAGATACACACACACAAGAGGAAATTCATGCATTCACAGTGTTTTTCTATTAGGCGTAATATCACCTATTAGTTATCCGCAATACTAAAATTCCCACTTAGAAGAGGTAAATTTTGTCTACATTTACCTGCTGCTGTCCTTGCTGAGCCTGTGGGGTGGTCTGTTGATTAGCTGAATTAGTTGCTGCGGCGGCAGCAGCAGCTTGCTGCTGGAAAAGACTGGCAGGGTAGACTCCCCAGGGAGTAACTCCATAATACTGGTGAGGGACCACAGCTGGGCCTAAAAATAGCAAATGAAAGGTAAAGAAAGTCTGAACTACTAAGACTCACCTCAGGCTTTCCAAATATTACATCTGACTCAATAGATACAACTGTAAAATATTAACTTAAAAGTATATTGATTCATGCTAGCTAATCATTAACTCTCTTTTTAAAGAATAGTAAACATTCTATGAGATCCTTACACCAGTCTTCTAACATAGACCTAGAGGAAGAAGCAGTGAGGGATAAAACATTAGCGAACTGAAAGGGTGAATGATTGATAGAAGGGGTTGGATTTAAGAATAGATGGGAGGATGTAGGATAGATAGAAACAATGTATGTTGTTAGAAGGGAGTAAATGGAGGGTTTGTGTGCTTAAAGTGATGAAATAGAACAGAAGGTTAGGATGTATCCCACGTTCAATGGTAAGAATGGCGCCTAGGGCGATTAACAGACTGCTGGTGTTTCAATAACTCCAAAGAAATGAACATCTATCGGTCTTCTGACAACAAAACCCAGACATTCAAGTAAACCTCCAATGCAACTTCAAAATTGTTGTTGTTTGCTTTTGTTTTGTTTTGGTTTTGTTTGAGACCAGGACTCTGTCACCCAGGCTGGAATACAATGAATCAATCTCAGCTCACTGCAGCCTTAACCTCCTGCGCTTAAGCGATCCTCCCACCTCAGCCTCCCTAGTACCTGGGACTACAGATGCATGCAACCACACCTGGTTAATTTTTTTTTTTTTTGCAGAAGTCTACGTTGCCCAGGCTGGTGTCAAACTCCTGGGCTCAAGTGATCCACCTGACCTGGCCTCCCAGACTGCTGAAACAATAGGCTTGAGCCACCACGCCTGGCCCCTATTTCTATTTTTAAAGTCACAAAGGCATTCAACACAACTACATTCAGATATTGATATGTGGAATTTTAAATTTAAGTCAACATTGAACACAAACAAAAAATACAACACCTTGACTTCTCAGACCTGCTGAGAACCTTAAAAGAAGTTAAGCATTCTCTGTAATTCCAGTACTTTGGGAGGCCGAGGTGGGCAGATCACTTTGAGGTCAGGAGTTTGAGACAGGCCAGCCTACATGGTGAAACTCCATCTCTACTAGAATAATACAAAAAAATCAGCCAGATGTGGTGGCAGATGCCTGTAATCCCAGCTACTCGGAAGGCCAAGGCAAGAGAACTGCTTGAACTCAGGAGGCAGAGGTTGCAGTGAGCCAAAATTTTGCCACTGCACTCCAGCCTGGGCAACAGAGCAAGAGTGTCTTAAAAAAACAAAACAAAACAAAACAAAACTAAGCATTCTGCTTTAATCCAAATTATCTGTTTACTTTCTTTGGCAACAAAGCATAGCTGCAGTCTGCCACATAAAGTAGGCAACAGAGATGTATGTAACAAAGTTATGCAGATAACAACCCAAGTGTGGCAGAAACCTAATCATAGAATTCTATGATGAAGCTGGTGGCAAGAAACACCAAGGACACATTTGCTAACCAGGAAATGGGCTCAAAGCCAGTTCTTCAAATCTGCTGAAACGTACCTCCAAGTTGAACTTCCTTAGTTAAAGCACAGAGTTAAATATTTACAACTTGATTCATTAACAATAACCAAGCCTTACACTGAAGTTCTGAAGAGCTGTTTCAAATATTAGAGCTATTCTGATGCAATAGCTAATTCTGGAGAAACACATACTTCGTTAAGCAAAAATACGTACATATTCTTATTTCTCCCATTTTAAGCTTCTAAAACACAAATAAGTCAAATTATATCGCTGTCCAATATAAACATGTTTTGACATTTCTAATTTGGTGTTTTCTATACTTGCGGGTTAGCAAAGATTAAGCAGCTCTGTTTACAAAGGTGCACACTGTGAAATACTACACCTGGGTACAGAATGAAGGTGTTGCTAAGAAAAGCTGTTACACTATGAACTATTTCACTATAAGAAAAGAGGTTAAGACATTTTTAACTTGTCAGAAACTGAACTGCCTAAAAGCCATGTATTCAAGCTTAAAAGAGAGTGATAGAGCCTCATACTCATTGATTAGTGTTTATAAAGCAGGGTGGTCGTGGGCAGTTAAAGAAAAAAAAATACCAGGGAAAAACACAAAGAAAGACCCTAACTGTGCCTTAGTTTCCTCACTTGTAAAATGGGTAAACACAGGTAGAGTGTTCCTTAATCAAAGTGCTTGGCACCAGAAGTGTTACCGCTTTCAGATCGTAGACTATTTGCATACACAAGAGTTATCTTGGGGATGTAACCCAAGTCTAAACACAAAGTTCATTTATGTTTCATATACATACACCTTATACACACAGTCTGGGGGTAATTCTACTTTTCCATTGAGGATGCTGAATAAATAAACTGTGTGTTGTGTGCCTGTATTTTGACTATAATCCATCATATGAGGTCAAGGTCAAGTATGGAATTTTCCACTTGTGGTGTTATGTTAGTACTCAAAAAGGTTTTGAATTTTCAGATTAGAGATGCTCAACCTGTAATAGCTGTTGGGAGTACAGATGTATCTACCTTGAACAAGTGGGGTGCAACCTGTAGTAACTGTCTCAATCCTCTCCCAAAAGCCAACAAAAGAGAACCTCTACTGGGCAAGGACCGCTATACCATCAACATTTGCATTATTCCCTAAATTTTCTCAACGGGCATTTCTACTACTATACTCTGGTCACATGGCCTAACATTAAATTAGGAGAATGGCCCAGGACAAATCACTGAGTTTCACTCATCAGGATGCCTACTTCAATTCCTGTGTGACTGACACCCTCTAAGAATACACAGACCCATAGTTTGGACAGTTAACATTTCCTGTTATTTGTGAAAGTATTAATTCATTTTCACCATGGCTCAACCAACATACACAAAAAATAAGATTCTGATCACCAAATTACCATCTCAGTGACAGCGGCAGTGTCAACCCTAGGACAAGCTCTTTGTTTTAAGTAACATAAATCAATAAAGGCAAAGACTTCTAAAAAAATTACAGAAAAGACAATTCAAGAAAGACAGCACAGGCATTCTAAATAATACAGTGAAAGATACGCATGGGCTTTGGAGTTAAACCTGGTTCAAACCCCAACTCTACAACATTTAAACTGTGTGACTTCAAATGAGATAGTTTCCTAGGTTGGGCGCAGTGGCTCACAACTGTAATCCCATCACTCTGGGAGGCTAAGGCGGGTGAATCACTTGAAGTCAGGAGTTCGAGACCAGCCTGGCCAACATGGCAAAACCCTATCTCTACTAAAAATACAAAAATTAGTCGGAAGTGGTGGTGGGCGCCTGTAGTCCCATCTATTCAGGAGGCTGAGGTGGGAGAATCACTTGAACCCTTAGAGGCAGAGACTGCACCACTGAACTCTAGCCTGGGTGACAGAGTTCTCGTTCTGTTTTTGAGACAAAGACTGTCTCAAAAAATAAAAATAAAAAAATAAGGCAGGTCTCTTGAGCCACAAATTTCTAATCATTTGACAAACTATATGGAAGAAAAGCATTCAGGACAATGCCTGACAACATTTTGTTAAGTGCTCAATAAATATTAATGATGGAGGTCATTCTCCTAGGAAGAGTTTTCTGTTTCCCCCAGAAAGGGGATGACCACAGACAGACAGACAACCCTATATTAACTATGCTCCCTTCATAACATGACAAAATGTAAACAATTTTAAAGAAAATCTAAGAAATGCTAGGCTGCATTTAAGTACATAATTGCAAATTATATGCTATATAATAAGAAGTAAAATTTCAAAGTAATATTTAGTCATGATTAACTTGACTTGAAGGGATCTTCCCCCAACGAACAACTACATTGGAAGACATTTTGTTTGTCCTAATGTTGAATTCAATCCATCATACATTTATGGCCCTACTATGATGACAGTAATTGTGGAACACAGTCAAATAACAAAGATGACTGACTGCCTTTAAAAAATCTAGTCTCAAAGGAAAGAAAAAGCACTCATAGGCTGGGCACAATGGCTCATGCCTGGAATTCCAGCACTTTGGGGGGCCAAGGCAGGAGGACTGCTTGAGCTCCGGAGTTTGATACAATACCAGCCAAGGTAACACCGGCAAGATCACCCCATCTCTACAAAAAATTTAACAATTATCCAACACCAGTATGGTGGTGCACAACAGGAGCCCTAGCTACTCAGCAGGCTGAGGTAGGAGGATCAAGTAAGCCCAAGAATTCAAGGTTACAGTGAACTGTATTCACGTCACTGCATACCAGCCTTGGCAATAAAGTAAGATCCTGTCTCCAAAAACATAACAGGAAAAAAAAGAAAACTAATGTATACATCCAGAAATAAAAACAGTGCAGTAATTAGTGATACCAAAAGAATAGGGGAACAGTTAGCAAGGAAGGTTCCTTAGAGGTGACATTGTCAGGTAGAGCACTCACAGGCAAAGAATGGGAAAAAGAGCTTATAGAGAAGACCACAGTGTCCAAAGACAGGGGCCTAAACCAACACAGTATCTGCAGCAAACTAAAATCAGATTTGTATTGCTACAATGTGTTAGCCAATGGCAGTCAATTAGAAAGGGAACTGGATGGTGCACATGTAGAGACCTGCATGAGGCATGGTGACAGAGCCCTATATGCAGTGGGTCCCAACCCTAGCTAATCAACAGAATTACCTGGAAGCTCCTTAAAAATACTGATTCCTGCCCGGCCCAGTGGCTCACACCTGTAATTCCAGCACTTTGGGAGGCCGAGGCAGGCAGATCACAAAGTCAAGAGATCAAGACCATCCTGGCCAACATGGTGAAACCCCGTCTCTATTAAAAATACAAAAATTAGCTGTGTGTGGTGGCACAGGCCTACAGTCCCAGCTACCTGGGAAGCTGAGGCAGGAGAATCACTTGAACCCAGGAGGCGGAGGTTGCAGTAAACCAAGATCGCGTCACTGCACTCCAGCCTGGCGACAGGGTGAGACTCCATCTCAAAAAAAAAAAAACAAAACAGATTCCAAGGAACAAGACACCCCCACCCCCACCACGACTCCAAGTAACTTGTAATCATCAGCCATGTTTGGTAGTCTAACTGCAGTGTGCCGTATTAGGGTAGCAAAAAGGGAAATCAAAAAAAGGTTTAAGCAGAAAGATGAAGGGGTAAGATCTAAGTTTCAAACCATTTTAACAATTTAGAGGGGAAGACAAGGTTAAAGAGTCAAGGAAATTAGAAACTCATGATACAGACCAGTAAAAGGACCTGAACTATATGATAGACTAGAGGTGGTAGGAGATCTGGGCAAAGGGAGAAAAATAAATGAGCATCTGGTAGCTCCAAGGATCAAAAATACCATACGCAAGGGGTATGTGATTAATTTGCCTTTCAACATTTTCAAGTCTGAGGGGCCTATGACACAGCTAAGGAGAGATATTAAGCTGGCAGGTAGATGACATCGAAATTCTGGAGAAATCTCCACTGGCAACATGGATTTGGAAAGAGTATAAAGAATGCACTCCCATCTCAAATGACTTTTCAGCAGGTGAGAAAATCCCTCATGCAGCAGAATGTCTCACCTAGTGTCGCTGCTGCAGCCAATCCAGCTGTGTAGGGGTCCGTCCCTGGGGGAGCAGCGCTGATGATGTATGGATTGGGGACAAACGCAGCGGGAGCTAAACCTGCTGAAAACATACCTGTCAGTAAAAACAAACTTGACTAAAACTGCAGCCCTATCAAATACCTACACAGTTTGACTATTCACACCAGACTGTAGGTGAGGAAAAAATGAAAAAAGAGAAGACAGGACAGGTTGAGAGTAAAGATAAATTTTAAAAGGTATATCCTACACGGAAGATTATAATGAAATGTTTCTATAGTCAAGTTCTACCTTTGCTAAATATTTAACTTAAAACTGTATATACAGTTTTAAATTCAGTATAATTTCTTAAAGATTATTAAAATTATAACAGACTACAATAGAGCAATTTAAAAGACTTTCATTAAAATGGGATGAAGGAAAGTATTTCTACTTAAAACAATTTTATAAAGTTTTCATGAAATCAAATGTATACTTGTAAAGTATTTATAAAGACTACCATTTACAACCCTACAATATCAGACCCAAGGACTTTATGCCTGGCCTTTATTTATTCAGGTTGGAACTAAGTATATTCTTCTATAGCATAACACATACAAGATTAACTATCTCCTTTCTGCTCAATCATGCCATTTTGACACATTAAAAAAAAAATTCTACTTCTACTTGTTTACATTTAATGCACTCTATGTCTAAGGGACCTCAAGAAGGTCCAAAGGGAAGAAATGTCCAGGTAGTACGATGAAAACGTCTCTCAAAACTTTAACAACTGCTACAGGAAAAGGGCAAAGCTACCTTAAAACTAGTAATTATGCAAGAATACTTTTATAAATTTTTTCAATACATACTTACTGGAAAATGAATTTATACTATTTGCTCATAAAATGAGAAGCTGATATATTTACAGTCTATAGAACCACAACTTATTCAATCAATGTCATCCAGCATTCAGCATGTTGAAAGAGCTAATGCTAGTCACCGCTCACTATTGGGGTAAATACTTAAATCCTGAAACAGCTGAGGTAGGGCAAGAGCTGACCACTGAAGAAATCTTATGTAGGACTACAAGGTATGTCAAAAATAATGTGGCTAGAGACAACTGGACAAAAGAAAGAAGCCATTTACTCTGTCTGAGGGATTGTGTGCACTTTTATAATCAGTCTAAATTACTGGGTTTCACCGCATCCAGTTATCCTAAAATGGCGGCCACATCTATCATGAAAAAGCTATGGGCTTAAGGACTTACCAATGTGTGGCTGATGAGCAGCTGCCAGTGCGTACTGCTGCTGCTGAGCAGCTGTCAACTGCTGGACAGCAAGCGCATTAGGTCTTTGGAACAGCTGAGGCAAGAGGAAAAACATGGTGTGGTTAGGGAAACTGGCTTAGAAAATCATTTAAAAACCTCTCTAAAAATTTCAATAAACCCTTATTTAGGCATGATACTTTAACAACAATAAATGTTCTCACACTCTACTTCATTCCCATGGGATTCTAATGTTTCATAGTTCTGTTCTCCCTGTCTCTCTTTCTTTACTTCAATTTGCTATGCCCTGGTCCCATGAGCTGACCACTTCGTATATTATATGTCCCCTGAAACACACACACACACACACACACACACACACACTTTATATATATAATATACATATGCATGCAAAAGCCCTAATGGTTATCAGTAGGTGTACAGGTCCTGCCTGATCCAAAGCAAAGTTAAAAATTAGGCAAATGTACTACAAACTGATTTGCTACATTGCCCCTAGTGCTAAATCTCCTTTCAGTGCTTTCAAGACCCCACGAATAACTGAATTAATCCTCATCTACCCACATTTTGGAGAAGAATATGAAAAGTGTTCACTTCACCCTCTGGGCTGCCACTTCCTGGGAAAATGGTATTGAATAACTTCCTTAGCTAGTAGCTTATCCTAATGAGTAAATTAGACACTTGCCCAACTTTTGGTAGCTTCAAAGTCTTCTGGGATACTGTTCTTTATATGTTGAAAATAAAACAGCAGAAATACAGCAGCTACTAACAAAACTTAGATTATGAGCTCACACCTAGCACACTTCTTAGTTCTAAAGAAAAGTTCAAAGGCTTTAACACTAAGAATGCCTTATTACTCTACCTTAATAAAAAATCAATCACTCACTCATTAATTCAACCAACATTTATGAAACAAATGATACCTGTTAGGCACTGTGCAAGAAGCTAGGGATATGACAGAGAATAAAACAATACATAATCCCCGCCCTGATGGAGATTACATTTTAGTATGAATGGTACTAGTACAAAGAAAGGGGATGCCAGTAACCTGATTTGTGGATCCCTTAATAGGCCTCTTTCCAAGGAGTGATATTGAAGACTTTAATGTTTGTTAAAATCAGACTGAACGCACTTACTGAAGGGACCTCCCTGGATAGGACCTTCAACCTACCTGCTCTTCCTACAGGATTTTTCAGCAGCTCAGCTGACATTGCTGGATGATGTGTAACAGACACTATGGATCTTGAATTACAGCTGTCCTCATAAAGAGACCTGATTGTTTCAGACATTAGGAGATAATGTCATTCTACCAACTCAGCTTAATTGTTGTCACGACTGGACTTACTCTTATCCTAGGTGGTGGAGAGATTTTAGAGATTTGGCTACCCTCTACACCTCAAACATGAAGAGGCTAATTTTAGACTAAAAGATAACAAAAAGTGAATACTTTGAACATACTATCCCATTTCACCTGTTACTTCTCTAGTCTTAATCTCTGCTTTTGGAGTATGAATGTCAAAAGTAACCATGCACCTATTTCAAAAATACTTTAGGTTTTGTTTTTTTCGAAAGTTAAAGAAAAACTTCACTGTGATGCTGGTAAAAAGGAAACAGTACTACTAAATATCAAGTCTTAAAAAGAAATGTGGGGGGGCTGGGTGCAGTGGCTCAGGTCTGTAATCCCAACACTTTGGAAAGACGAGGTGGGTGGATCACAAGGTCAGGAGTTCGAGACCAGCCTGACCAACACGGTGAAACCCCGTCTCTACTAAAAATACAAAATTAGCCAGGCATGGTGGCGCATGCCTGTAATCCCAGCTACTCAGGAGGCTAAGACAGGAGAATCGCTTGAACCTGGGAGACAGAGGTTGCAGTGAGCCAAGATCGCGCCACTGTACTCCAGCCTGGGCAACAGAGCAAGACTCCATCTCAAATAAAAAAGGGCAGGGGAACTGAATCTACTGACAGACATTATCAAAACATTTGTCTTCCAGGAAGGGAGCCAGTCAAGACTATTTGGTAATACTGTGGTTGGGTGCGGTGGCTGAGGCCAAGGCAGGAGGATCACGAGGTCAGAAGATTGAGACCATCCTGGCCAACATAGTGAAACCCCATCTCTACAAAAAATACAAAAATTAGCCAGGTATGGTGGTGCACACCTATATTCCCGGCTACTCGGGAGGCTGAGGCAGGAGAATTGCTTGAACCCAGGAGGCAGAGGTTGCAGTGAGACGAGATCATGCCACTGCACTCCATCCTGGCGACAGAGACTCCGTCAAAAAAA